AGATGGATGGAGGAAATGAGGAGGAAGAGGGAAAAGCGGAAGAGGAAGATGAGAGCGGTAGGGGTCTGCGGTAGAGGTGAACGATTCCGTGTAGTACTTGGATTATAGGTTTAGCGTTAGGGCTTAAGCTGCTGCTCGTCGCTGTGGAGTCACTGTGAAAGTTGGATCCTGGCGGCTGCCGGTTGGCGGAGCTTACGCCGGCAAAGCCTTCGTCCTTCTTGGGAGGCGAATCCACCGAGTGTATCAACAGGCAATACATGTTTGCACATTCTACAAATCGCGGTTCACATTGAAATTATAGAATTTATAGGAGAAAATTTACTAATAGTTTGGGGATTATATTGAGACTTCTCTTCAAATTATATATTCTTACTAGAGTTGTAAGGGAGTCGAGCCGACTTGAAATGACTTATTAATGTGCTTACTAATTGAGCTTATTGAGCAATGAGTTTGAATTCAAATATATACTCGGCACATATTTTATGCAAGACGGAGCTTGCTTGAGCTTGGTCTGACTCATCTTGTAAGCTTGTCAATTAAGTTAAAATTTATTAAAATTTAATTTTAAACAAATTTAATTTAATAAAATATACTAAACTCTATTAACTATTTATGTACTCATATTTATGTCGTTCCCTTATGCAATTCCTAATGCGTTTTGCAATTGAATGGAGTGGGGGTTGTGATTCATGGTGGGGATTAGAGGGAAATAATCTTACACCATAAAACCTCCAATCCACCATTTTCTTGTTTGTCGAGTGTCGTTCAATTGTGAGATTGTCGAACTCCTTAGATGCTAAGAAAGTCATATGGACAATGATCATTTCTTTAACATTTCTCTCGATCGTGCCTTGGCTACTCATGGAGAGACGGACAACAATTGTGTCTCACCTGCTAGGGCTCTTTATTTTTTATTTTTTTCTTATCACAAACCCATCATTGAAATTTATCTTTTATGGCTCTTTTTATATTTTTTTAATTTTTTTTTGTTACATTATTATTCATAAAAGATTATCTTATTTGGCATGATCCTCGATGCATATTAGAATTGAAAAACTTTAAAAATTAAATTCATGATCAACCGAATTCCAAGTTTAGCAACTTATCACCGAAGGGAATGCCAATGATAATAAATGTTTTCCAAAGTCTAATTGTTTTATTTCTATACGTTGTTCGTATGAAAATTTCTCATATATCCCTTCATGGTAATTTGATGCTTGTATGGTTAAAAACATATAATGTGTGATGAATTGTCAAATTAATTATTCATCCTATGTATTGTTAGAGCACTTAAGGATATATAGATGTAATCAATCTGAGCTCTATATGATGATGCTTAATAAATCATATCATCACTAATTTTCTATTTTCTAAGAATATCAGACACTATTTGGCATATCATTTTCATATACTTATGAATAATATGTATAAAGCATGTGCACTAACACATAGAGGTTATATTCTAATGTTAAACTTCTCTAATTAGCATGTAATTAAATATACCATAAGTCATGCGATCATAAATTGCTTTAAATACAACTTCACTTAATGATTTTGTGAGTTTTGAAAAAGTACGTGGTGATATGATTTTTCTCAAGTGTCTTTTGTAAGGTTCATATACAAATTAATTTAGAAATTATGATACATTAAATTTTGACACATATTTCTCTTTTTGTATTATTGTGAGGTCCATCGGGAGCTACTTGGATGATAATTCATTGAGTGATCGGCTGCCTTCATTTCTCTCAAATGGAGGTACTATGATTGGTTGCACTGTTGACTTGCTTTGGTGAGATACATTCTAAAACTTTGATCATCCTATGTTTTCTAAATCTTGTGTATGATTAGGATCCCTGAACTTAAGGTCCTTGTAGAAACCCCGCATTTCATTTTCCAAACCTACCGACCTACTAGCAAACACGATTTTATTCGTTAGTGAAAACCCTAAGGTTGCATAGTAATGATTTATTTCTTCACATTATAATTTTTTCCCTTTG